GGGGTTTTATTTCTTTAGAGAAGTGGAAAGCCTGTCTACTTATCCTTAGATATTAGGAATTACCTACCCTAACAAAAAAGTATTAAAGTTTACTACTTATCCTGGAAGTATCTTTTCCATTCCGCCTAAATTCCGTTCCGTCCCACGTTTTAGCAATACCCGTCCAAAACGGATGTGAGTATTGTTGACATAGGAATTTCTATTTTAAGTAACCATGGCAACTTCGTTCATTGAAATCCATATCCGATAACAAGATTTATGCATCTTAGCACAGACTTCATAATTGCCGAGTTACATTGAAATCAGGCCAAAACGAAGGCGGAGTATTGTTTTCGAAGAATTTCATAGATTTTTCATTTTTTAGTATCCAAAGCAACACCGTTCATCGAAATCAAAAACAGATAAACGTGTATAAAATGACGTATGTTAGTGTAGCCTACTTGTGTGCCACGTTATATTTAAATCAAACCAAAACTATGGGGAGAGTAGAATTTTTTCCATTTCTCGTAAGCATGGCAACACCGTTCATCGAAATTAACCATAACACACATCTTAGTGTAGATTGTTTGTTTGCCCAGTTATGTTGAATCAGACCAAAGTTGTAGTGTTTTTGTAAGACTAGTATTTTACAGATTTTTATTTCAATTTTAAGTAGCAATGGTAACTAGTGAAGTCTACCTGTGTCACTGTCAGGTAATCTTGAAATCAGACCAAATCTGAAGGAGACGTAGCCTTTTGACAGTATTTCACAGTAAAAAGGGTCTAATTTTAGTTGCCATGGCAACACTATGAAATGAAAATAACAAACCAATACACAGAGAATTATGAATTCTAGTTTAGTCCTCTTGTGTAACCAGTTATATTGATATCAGACTAAAACAGTATATAATAAGAGTAGCATTTTGAAAAATCGTTGACAGACGGACGGATACCTTGTAATTACAATCGCATAAGATCTTTTGTTTTGACCAGTAATAGAGAACATAATGCTGTAAATAAAAGCTACACCAATTATATGGTTCAGGTAATGACCCCCTTTTTTTCTTGATTTATAAGCTTTTTTATTACAAGTTTATATTGAGTTATCAGTAAAATATATTTCGGTCATGTCGACCAAACATATATATTTTTCATATAATACAATGAATTTTTGTGATTAATTTCATCTGAAGGCGATTGCTTCTGTCAGTGCTACGGCCGTCTCAGCGAATTTATGAGACACAGCAGGGAATTACGCAGCGTCTCCGTCGTGAACAACAACGCCTGTAAGGCAATATTATTAGAAATTGTTAGAAACATGCAAAAAATGATTTTCAAATTCCAACAATACCCGCTGACATTAAGTGAAAAACAATTAGAATAGATGTTAGGGGAAAAAACCAACTCAAGATATATGGAGCGACTTATTATTGAATAATTATATTCATGCTTTCACTATGAAACTTTCACTTGTTGTTTTATTATCTTGAAATGTATTTCAACTTCTTACATGAAGGATATGGAGATAACGAACAGTATTCAATATCAAAGTCCATAAAACAATACAAAATAGGAACAGAGCAAACATCAGAGGTGGGATCGAAGCACCTACTGCGACATGGGACCTCGATTTAATGCGGTATAATCCTGAAAAAACGTTCACAATATTCCACAGTGGGATCTTAACTCACGACACAAGGATGAACTCTTTACTTCGCGACTCTAGAGCAGACGCTTTAACCACTACACTCGGTGTACATCGACGTACATGTATATATCCTTATAGTCTCTTGACGTTTATAGGCGAGGCAATATTTTCACAAATTCTGAAAAAGGTTTACTTGATAATCATATTATCGCGTAATTTCGCAAAATACATTGCAAATATAAACTAAATTAACATTATTCAGTGCGAAGGGTTATTAAAAATTTTGATGATTATTTGATAAAATTTATTATATATATATATATATATATATATATATATATATATATATATATATATATATATAATATATATTTATTATAATATATATTTGATAAAAAAGAAATTTATTGTTTCTTTTAAATTAATTTCTTTTTAAACAATTTTAGTTACATGAACATTTTCATTTATCATCTGAAATTACAAAACTCTTCAACAGATATTGAAAGTCATTAGAGAAAAGTCCATATATGAAGCACCAAAGATAAAAACAAATGTTCACTGTTAATGGAGAAGTCCTGATCTGTGATAGTCACATAAAACCACAATATTAAATATCTTTTAGACGTAAACAACATATGAAAGAGAAATTCAAATAAGTGTCTGCTTTCACAAATATAGAGCAAAGCCGAAGAATCGTTAAACTGGATTCATAATAAGTCTAACAAAGTAATATTTGTTGTTATATGTACAATTTATTATGCATTTTGTATAAAGACCATGATCGATACTCTATTTATCTGGTAGATTCATTGTGCAAAGGAAATACGCTTCGTACTTAATCATTAGTTATGTAATTGGCGGTTCGTTGAATTATTCATTGTTAAGGCTGTTTCGAGACCATTCTTTTATCAAGGGTATTGAAATGTTTATGCTAAACATTAAATTTACATATGAATATACAAAGAAAAATACACAACAACTCGTCTTTTAAAAGAGAATTGATATGAAATCTCAAAGGGATAATTACATTATATTTTATAACTAAAAATAAGCAGTGTTCCTAAATCAAAATGATGTTGAAAACTCCACTGGGACTATGTTTAGAGTTGGGCTAAGTCTATTATTTATTGAACTTTCTTAGACAAAATAGATTCACTGTTATTCTTTTTACCCCCCCCCCCCCCCCACAATTGAAGATTGGCAAATAAAAATTGTCACTCTATCCGTTTTTCAGTCCTATTTGTCCGCAAAAACTTTTAACTTTATCCATAACTTCTGATTTGAAGAAGCTATGGTTTATGCGTATTCTTTGTGAAAAGACCTTTTCTTTAGGAACCATGATACATGATCTCTTGACTGTAGAATTTAACTTTTGCAAAAACTTGGTCATAACACATTAATTCATAATCAATATTTAATTCGATTTTCACAGCCTTGCTTAAAGTCCTTTTCTTGTATATAATCAGTCTTTATCTTTTGACCTTACACTAGAAGTACAACTTGCATATGGGAGATCTAAGTGATTCAAAAACGTCGTGCACTTAAGAAACTTAAACCTATACAATAAGCTGTCATATGGAGGGCATCAGTGATTCACATTAACATCTCTTTTCAGTTTTATTTCTAGAAGACAAACCGTCAAGTAGCTCCGTGATCGGAAGGTCATGGGTTCGAATGTCGACCTCGACTGGCCAAAGTCGCTAAAAATAGGAAGCGACCGTTCCTTTGCCAGTCGCTCGGCACTTTAAATCCCCCTCCCCGTGGAATTGAATTTGCAGAGATATAAAATGTATGTACCAAAAGAAGTATAAGTGGCGTTGGACCCCTCCTCGAACGCGGATCTTGTGAAATAGGTATGAAAAGTCATGATAATGAAACTTTGATCCCCCCCCAACGGAAAGGTTTTACACATATGGGATGTGACTGGTTTTTGTTTGCTTTTGATTGTTTTTTTTTTTGTCAAAGATTTTCTGGGTTGGAAATTTTTTTGTCGGGGTGCCCCCCCCCCCGTAGAAAAAAATTCCTGATCCGCGCCTGACATTGAAGTGAGAGATAAGTGTCCTTCTGATGAGGCCTTAAAATCAGAGGCCTAGTGTCACGGCAGGCGTTGGCACGATAAAGATCTCTCGCTAAAGTTCTGCGTAAAGGTCTTCATTTATGTTGAGATCTGGATGAACATACTTAAATGGGACGTAAAACAACTCACGATCAATACATCTAGAAGACAAAGCTTATGAATGAACAAAATATGTTTGTAAGTCGTGGTATGGCAGCTCATGGCGAAGACATACGTCTCTCAAATACAAATCGAACTACATAAATGGTCTTGTCATAAGGAATATACCTCTAAATACGAAAACCCTAGTCTAAACTTCAGTGAAAAAATAGGGTAAAATTTCGGCAAAAATCAATTGATCAGGTAGGTCACCCTTCACGTAACTCAGTCGGTAGAGCGCTCGCTCCATGATCGGGAGATCGTGTGTTCGAATCTCGGGACTGACGCGACTGACCCGAGTCGATAGAAAATGGGTTGCAAGTGTTCTTACCTTCGCCATGCGCTCGGCACTTAAAATGAAAGTTGCAGGTCCTTCTGATGAGACCTTTAAAAACCGAGGTCCCGTGATACGGCAGGCGTTAGCACGATAAAGATCCCTCAATGCTCAATGACCCAGAGTGCCGAGTAGTGGTCAAAATTTGAAGCCCTTTCACCGGTGTTTTGGCGACGTCTCTACGTGAGTGAAAAAATCTCGAATGGGAAGTAAAAAGATATACAATCAATCAAAGGCCGGTCACGTTCAAGCTACATGTAGTTTAGGACCACAGGTTAAAAATATTTGTTCCAAGAAACACACATGTGAAGCATGAATGCAACAACCGTTCAGAATTATGAACGAGGTTCAATGTTGATTAATAACATTAACAAATGTGAGTCAGACTCGAAGGTCAAGAGGTCTAATTTTCATTTTGATTTCCAAAAGTATTGTCACAGGAAATATAACACCTATTTACTGGTATAATATAATACGTACTGACTTGCTTTGAGGACAATAGCGTTTATTGTCCTCCGAGTGTTTCGTGACAATATAATGAATTATTGTTATTGTCCTCATAGCCAGTATATAGGTGTATAAAATATATTATAGTTATAGCTATGATCGGCATTTCTGTTATCAGAAGTTTCAAATATGAATCGTATTGTTCTAAAATGCTTCAAATTTTATTTCACTTTGATTTTAAGACGACATATCCCAAATTACTATTACAAATTCTTAAAACCAATGGCACATTTCTTTCTCAGAAAATTTAAGGTTCAAATCAATGTAATGGAACTGTAGTGCCGCCAAAGACTAGGGGTTTTCTGTTATCTACCAATCGTGTTTGAGGTATATTTTCCGGACCATTACTGTTAATCTGCATTCTGTGTGGCTTGGAAAACGTTAGCAGTTGACGCAGAAATTCGATAGAGAAAGCAATCTTGTTAACTTCATATCTATACTTCGCTTCACTCGTAAATGCTATAAGTCGTGTATCAGTTTCACTTTGTTTCGAATCAATATCACAGGTAAAGTTTCAAAAAAAAGAAATCTCCACAGCGATGTTCTAGTGTATCGTTATGGATCCTTCTCTGCAATGACGTTTTTTCCATTATTTTTTGGTTGCTTGTGAAACCTACAAGGTTTTAGAAATTACAGACCGTTATCATCGATATGTTTGTTGTATTTATGGCTTATTAGGAATTTCCAAATAAGTTGAAAAATACATTTACCGCTACGAAAATCAAACAATAATTCCCACTAAGAAATATGGATGTTTATTCACAGACGTTGGAATGATTCGCTAATGATCGGTAAAAGCTGTGACTTATTGACAAGCAAGGGTTGGTGATGCCAGGCCTGGGGACTTAATGTTATCTGCTGGACAGGACATTTTGATTACGACTATAAAAAGAGAAAATCCAGGATTATTATTACTAATTAGTGCTGTCATGAACATATAAACAGCGTCTTTTTACATTTGTGATCGTGCAACAAGACGATGTTACAAGCGTATGGGTATGTATTATTTTCACTTGTTGGATACCCCTTCTTAATTTGAAAGTAAATTTGATGGTGTAGGGGAATGTTCTCTGAACTTTTTTGTTGTTACTTTTTAGCCAGCGAAATGTTTTTATTTTTATCAAAAATACTTGTCATTTAAAAACTTAGTGCTGCTATTAACACCTATAGGTTATTTTAATATATACTGTGCTTTATTCATTTGGAAATATTATTTTATTTATTATCAATTGTTCGCGCAATTTACCATCACGTGCAAGTTAAGTTAAAATATCACGTTTACCAATGTTTAGTGTAAACTTTTCCACGTACATTTAATTTCTATTAATTTTTTTGAAGCCCTTCCTTTTAATAATTGCAGAATTAACATTAATTTAAATGACTAGATATATGTCATAAAATAGATTATTTTCCGTATAAAAATTATATATTTAGGGAATTAGGAAGCATAAGTGTCACAATAAATCTAAGAACAAACTATGGTGTTTTGCTGTATTTTAATTCATCTATGTAAAAAATTGGAAAAATCAGTTGCTTCAATTAATAAATTATTGAATTATAAAAATGAGGGCAAAGAAAAATTAAGCAAATGAGTCAATTTTGCATATTAGTCATATGTTTATTGCTATGGTAGGGTGGATACAAAACTGGTCAGTATACGAGTCCCCCAGTTTCCAAGTCGTGTTCGATCAAAAATTCTGGCTGATATTCTTCTTGTCATGTTTCTTCTTGCTTTGATGTACCTACTTTCCATTAATGCATGAAAGGAATTTTTCCTCTATCATTTGGGTGCCATCCGCTACACTAATTAGAAGACAATAGGGCATTACAGAGATCATCAAATTTCTTCGTGGGAGTGTTGTTTAACAAGTTTAGACAAACCATTTCTAAAATTTACCAGATTTTCCTGGCTTTTAGTTTTCAATTTGCTTTTCCTACGCAATTGTGTAACAAACAACCTTTTCGTGTTGAAAAGTAAACACCTTTAGGATTGCTTCACTTCATTGCATTTTAGCTAGAGATCCAACCAAAAAAATACAATTTTTTTTATATCGAAAAGTTTGTATGAGAGTACCCAAAGAAATTTTTGATTTTTTTTACTATTTTTAAAAGTTGACATACTGTAACATATCTCTATGAATGTTCATACAGGAACTCGTTACATTATAAATGGACATTTCACGAGACAATAGCAGTTCTATGGGGCAGCAAGATTAAAAAAAAATGTCAAGTAGTCCAAAGGAATATAATATTTTTTTGAAGTAGAAAACCGACTGTAAATAAAGCGTATTTTAATCTTTTGAAAATGTTACTGAAATCTGAAAAAAGTATAATTGGCTTGGCCTCATTCTTGTCGACCTGCATGTTTACAAATTTGATTTGGTAAATATACATGTTATTCTTTTTTTTAAAATATCTAACTATAATTAAAGAGACTTTCATAACTACATTCTCAAAACTTATCATTTCAGAGTATGTGAAGAAATTTGAACATTTTGTCCTCAAAAATGTTATTAACTTTGAAAATTTGCAGAATTTTTTTTAAATCATGTGTCATATGGAAAATTAGATAAATATAAAATCCTTTGCTTTTTTATTAATCGACTACTTTGAGCAAACGAATGTTATAATATGTATTAAGGTAGTCAATCATCAGGCTCTGAAAATCAGTAATTGAATAGTTGAAAATGCTCATAAACCAAAAAAAATGGGATTTGCCCAGGTTTATTCTTTAAGGTAGGATTCTTCTCTGGTTTCTGACTAGATGAAACATTCAAAGTATATTTGCTTATATGTCTTATATATTGAGATGTAAGTAATTTAAAAGATCATATTTTTCTTTCCTCATCACAATTGTACAACTTTAAATAGAAATGGTAAACTGCGTTTGAAAGCTTACAGGGACTATATTTTTGGCGGATTGGTTTGAAAATATCTTCTTTTCTGCCCATCAAAATTATAATAGAACAATGAATTTAGTAATATTTTTTACTCAATCGAAGTCTTGGAGAAATTTTCAAGTTAGATTAATAATGAGGGACTAAACTTTCAAAATATATCAAATAAATATGATATTTCAAACAAACTAGAACTTTATTAGCTTTTAAACACTTCCCATCAAAGTGCAGATTTGAGCCAAAAATCCATAAAAATATTATTTCTCTCTTACTAAACGATAAAAACTTTTTGTTTTTGTATCATTTTGTACATTTATAGGACTACTTTATTATATGTGAAAATAAGAAAAAGTTAAATATAGGAAGCATATGAAAATAACTAATATATACTAAAAAATTAAGAAAAACAGAGAAAATTCGGATTAGCCAATGTCCAGTTAAGTTAAATTATTTATGTAAATTTGGTAACATCATGCTATAGACCCGATATATTAATATGTTTTATGCAAAAAGAACAATCATTAAACTTTAGAAATAGAAGTAGGTATCACATGATTGGCAACAATTATTTTTTATTTATAATGTCAAGGAAAAAGTTAATGACCTTGACCTGACCTTGCCTCTAATATAAAACGGTCAAATTTTATTTCACTGATACTATCAATTACTGATATTGTCTTCTTGATTCTGTGAAAATTTCATTAATTTTTAAATATTAGAAATATGAGAAGACCTTAAATCAAAATATTTTAACCACACACATTCATACGGTAACGTTATTTATTTCAGTTATCTATATAATTCATGGTGTATTAAGTGATTGCTATCCTTAAAAAACATCATAAAAGTCACGTATCATTTAAGTTCAAATAAACAATAAAGCCAAGGGAAATTGGATTTCTTAATTTCCATTTTTTAAAATACTTAATGAGATACAAATATGAACTTTTTCTACGAGACCGCTTTTAAGACTTCAGAAATTCTTGACTCACATTTAGATGCATAAAAGGAACATTGTTGCATAAAAAATTTCAATTTTAAGCAATATTATGATAATTTTTGAATTAAATAACAAGAGATATCCTTCTTAGCTGAGGGGCAGTTAAATTTGTTATGTAACTTCGTATTTGAAGAGATGCCAGAGTTTTAAACTATGCTTTGTCATTTACTTGTATTGTAAAATAGAGATGTTTCATTTGAAAGACTATGAAAGGACGTTCACTTTAGTAACTCCTCTAATTTCGCATTGGAACATGTGAATGTTTTTTAACCATACCAAGATATTTCTCAGTAAAATCTTATTTTACCCTTTTCATGGACTTCAAAATGGTCAGGACCTCTCAAGTTCTGTAGATTCCTTATTATACGCGAGGAATTAATTTCCGCGTAATTTCGCGAGAAGCGTCACTCCCGAAAAAATATTACTCGCTTTTATTTTCATGGCGCTGAAATCTACATGTATGTAAATTCTGTTGATGAACCGTCCATTCGCAAATTATAATTCTCACAATTTGACGTTAAAGACACAGTTCGCGATAAAAAGTGCTCACGAAAAATAAGGAATCTACAGTACTTTTACCACTTTTTTGTGCGTGTTTAACTTTTGTATGTTAATCAATCAATCATAAATATTGCAAAACTTTCCTGACATACTTACAAATGTAGTTTTACTTTAAAAATTAAAATAGTATTAAAACATTATTGAAAAGAATGCTAGTAAAAATGTCTTGAGTATCGATTACATATGAATAAAATTAGGCTAGAAAGAATAAATCATAGGTGGCGCTTCGTATGGTGGCCATATTATTTGATCTGGAAAAAAAATTATGAGACTTGCGTTGCAGATTGATACGGTTTTGACGGGTTATTATTGTAACGTAGATGACGTCATTCGATGAAATCATAATATTTAACTAAATGGCGCATTGCAACAAGAATTAAATTATTTGTAATGGTCGTCCTTCTCATTAATCACGTTAATTTTACTATTTTAAGGAAAATGAAAAAAAGATATGGACTTGTTTCCTCAAGAATTCAGCATTGTTTAAGCCCTCTGTTAATTGAATCAAGTTATCAAATACTTTCATACGTGTAATAGGATACCAAGATTTCACAGACGTGAGTCGTAGTGACGTTTAATACGCTAATCTTTCTTTTAAGATTAGAGAAAATCAAAACAAACGTAATTTCATTTACCCAGAGTATCACGGATCGATTTTTCTTCATACTTGGAAAATTATTGTTGAAATCATCGATTTTTGTAGCTTATAGAAATGAAACAATTTTAACGACCCTTATCCATACCTAAAGCCCACTGACGTGGCGCGTATCTCGAACAATTATGAATGATCAGAAATTATTGTGTAATGCTGGGTTTTTTCCCCTGGATCATTTCGCCTAAAACGACCATTATCTAGAGCCATCGAGAGAGATGATGATTTAATGATTAAGCAGACGACACTGATCTTTTTAGCGAACATCATATCTTTCCTTGCAGACAGCACAATGTGAAAATCGGGTATTTTGCTATTTGTAGAATCACAATGTCGGGGGAAAGTAGAACCGATTGGAGACGAATAATTCCTTGATTTAGTGTTTTGGAAATGGGATTTGCCGAGGCATTCTACCTCTATGGAAATTTTCAAGGTTGGATTTTGTCAAATCTATTTTAAAAAAAGATAAACGAAAATGTTCGAATATAAGAAAGTTTTATCTTTAGATTAAATGAGGTTACGATATATGTTTCTTAGTTTTGAATGAATTGTGGTTATATACGTGATTTCATTTAGCGCTCAATTGCTGTTTATGTGCCTTTTCAAATTTGTCAATAATTCAAATCTTTATCGATGAAATCCAAGAGTTAAATCAATACATCTATTGATCACAGTGAGGTTCGTGCATATTTTACATACACAGTACATTGTAAGTTATTACATTCTTTATTAAGGTAATCAATCGTTCCTTAAAGTTTTTTTCAACACAAGTAGTATCGACCTTTTGTAATGGTATATAATTATATTATACATAAGTACAGAAAACATTATGTTACGTCTACACAAGGGATATGACTTACGTAATAGTATAGTAATTTGCACGGTAAACCTTACATCGTCGGGCTTTGTTAACAACTTATTATTATTTCTAAAATGGATTAATATGTGCGTAACTTTTGTTGTCTTATCACGTAATGCTTAGGAAATGTGGAATCTTTGCTAAAAATAAGTTTTTAAACTGCATTTTTCAACTTTTAAAGTAGAAAGAAATGTAACATAATTTAAATGAAAGAAAATTGAAACAGTTTAGTGGATTTCTTGGTGAAGAAAACAATGAAAACAAGTGACAGAAAATATCTTAAAGGTATAGCATTTATTGTTAAAATGTATGGGATTCAATATTCTAGTAGTTTTGAATGCATTTAAGTGAGTATACAATCACAACTTTATGTAAATGAACCCGTATTACATGAACATGTACTTTCAATGTATACATGTAGGTGATGATAATTTGCTATGATTACTTACAATGGTTCGTTGAAATTCTGTTTTACAGCTGGATTTGGTTTAGTGGTAGTTATTTGGACTATTGGATTAACAAAAGGTATGTTTTTTTTCTCTTTTTGTACTCCTTCGGAAAATGTATCCCTTCAGAATTTCATTCACAGATTTGTTATTCATGCTGACACTTACTCATTATTAACAAATTAAAGTAAACAAATATCAAATCAGGGTTCTAACACATCAATTGATTAGCAGCCTTTGACATTTTACATTTATAGTGGAGTAAATATTCCCCGAGCTAAAGTGTAGTCATTAAAATGATGCATGTGATGCTTTGAATAGACTTTTTCAAATATTTGTAGTTCAGTCATAATTTCCGGAAACATACCAATCACTGCTGGAATAAAAGAAAACTTTTTGTCATTTTATTTTTGTAGCGATTACAACTTTATTTTTATATACAATGCTTACCTGTAAGTTATGAACAATTGTGTAATTTTCGAGTTGAATGATTCAGGCATCACTTTTTCAGGTGAATCTTTGGTGTATATTCCAGTAATTCAGGGACTGATGAATACGACATTTCTCTCGCCTGTTCCGAGTCAGAATGATACATTCTGTTTAATAACAACACCAGTGATGTCCGAGAACAGGAACTCTATTGTTTCGAATTCTTCAGTGTTATCAAGTGAACTTGTCCAGCATAACTTATTAACAACTTTAAATGGGTCATCAGGTATATATTATTTTTATATTATAAGTGGAAAATGGTTTCGTATAAAGTATTGAAGATATATAACTATGTATTTCCAAGATACATAACACGCTTCTTGTTCTGGGTTTCAATGAATTTTTTTTGCATTGATTTACATGTAATATATCACTCACTGAAGATAAACAATTTTCATTAGAACATTATTGATCAATTTATAACAGAATGAGGGATATTAAAAACAAGACCTCTCTCAGTCGTATTTCTGAATCCCAAGAGTTCAAATAGCTGCAGAATTGTATACATATTTCTGTTTGGGAAAATTCGGACAAACTGGAGGACTCTGGTTTGCCTGTCCGAGTTTTCCAAACGAGAAAGCCGCAACTGTAAGTTCAAATAAATGATTCAAGTAATATTTAAGAAATGGCGAGAATGGACTTATTTAAGCAGAATAGACAGAGGAAGAAATATATCACTCATTCTAGGTCCAAATGTGTCCACATATAAACACAGATGCCTTTCATTCTACTTTCCTTGTTTTAAGGTAAGGTTTGCGTCTCCCTCCAACTCATATTTTTTTTAATATGCACACATGCTATATATCAATTTATTCAGGGAGATTAACTTCATCATTTAATATGATTTTGAAAGATATTGCCCATCCCATTTTTTTAGTAAAAAACGCCAAATTTAACGTATTTCATATTTCACCTCGAATATTATTTTCATTGAAAAAATTTATTTATTTTATAAATTATCAAACTTATATAATTAAAATGACCTGAATTAGAATAATTCATGCTTCTATTATTTAAACTTTTAATTTTCTCTTATCAAAAATGTGAAAATTTGGGAAAAAAGATTTTTCAATTTTCCTTTATAAACTGAAACCGTTGCCATGGCAACAAAAATATAAAAATCAACATTTTACATATCTACCGATTCCATCAAAATCCATGAAGTTATTAATTTGATCATTTTCATTAATTTGAACTAAAAAAAATATGTATGTCCCCAATGTTATTTCCATGGAAGCAGGGGCTATATTATGTGTTCGGAACATAAAAATCAGGCTTTTTCTACACTTTTAAAGACAACATTGATATCACCTTGTCGTGGTGAATGTTAAAGACTAAATGTTATTTTTGATATTGTTTTTAGGCATAAATTGGCCAAGAATATTCAAAATAAAACTCCTCCTGTGCTACATGATGGTCTAAAAATTTTTTCCATGGAAGAACTCTAGTATTTATGGCAATCTTTACATCTGAATATTCTGATGAAATTGTCCATGAATTATACTGCAACACCTTTAGAAGTACATGTATATGTATATAAACATACTTCAGAACATGTTGCAACTAAACCAATTAAAAGCCTATGAATTTGACCTCATGCTGATTTAGTTACTACAACATTAGTAACTTCTAGACATCTTTGTAGCAAAATATCTTTAATCAGTTATGGCTGGTCACTGTCATTACACATGTATGCCATTTTTTGAGTGAAATGTTGTAAGCATTGCATCCACGAAGCTGCTGTTTTTATAATTAAATGATTTCTTTACTTCGAAGAGTAGATATGCTATCTTTAAAGTAATGTTTGTTTGCCCTCTCTTGACTCAGGGTAAAATTATTGGGTCGGTAGGTGAGAAAATCTTCAACAACATTTTTTGAAGGGGGATAAGAGGAATAACAAGAAAAAAAAATACGGCCCTGCATTGAAAAAAGTTTTCAGTCTGGTCATTTTAGTCAGTCGGTCTGGAGAGGCCGACAACCAAACATTTTTTAAAGATGGCCTATTTCTACACTTCATGGACATTAGCTCAATCATTGGATTAGGTAGTCTGAGAATCTAAATTGAAAAATTCTAAGTGACATCAACATACTTTAATGAACAAAGTACTTCTGATTTCAGAGAAAAGGCAAATTCTGCAAAATGACATAACACTGTCATAAATATTTGTCAAGAACAGGGAAAAAGAGAACAATGCTACAGTGATAGATATATCTCATTGATATCCATGAAATAATAATTTAAATATAACAAAATTTTCTCCTTTTTGAAATCAAAATACAGAAAAAAATGAAAAGATTATAAATGTAAACAATTTTAAAATAAACTACATGTATTTGTAAAAGATTTTAATTATAGTAGATTACTAAACTGGTCTTATCATTCCTACTAAATTAACAACCTTACAATTTCCAAGTGTCATGTTTTAAACTGTTACAGTAGATATAATTATACATGTTCACTGCAGCTTTACATTATGTACAAAACTCATCAGTTTTCAGAATATACTTATTTGAGCATATTAGGTCCTGGTAAGAACAAAATTTAATGAATAAAAATATTAATCTTAATTGTTCGTGTATTAATTTCCTTGCAATTTTACAAACCCTTTTACGAAACTTGTTACATGTAAGTATAGACAAAAAGCAACCTTCAATTAATACCTATGATGTATACATTTATTTTACTGAAAACAAATTCAAAGATGGACAAACAGAGCATGCACTGCAATCATCACATATACACATATTTTCTAAATATATGGAAAACAGCATGTATATACTAGATAGGATGTTGTTAAACATTAAATTTCCTTCTATAATCTATAGACATATAAAAATATGCATTGGGTATAACAAGTCAGAAGTTCTTCTCCAAATCTCCATTGATTTTGCCATGTCTGGTACAACATCTTAGCTTGATCCAATCAGATCCATCCAACTTTCTTTAATATTCTTGAGCTGATATGGGATGACCTCTACTTTGATTGATGGCACAAATCTTTTAAGGAAACACTGAAGTACTTTTCTTTTTGGTTCTTATCTATTCCAATTAATGACCCATGATCTGAAATCATATGTGTTCATTTTTACAATAACATTTAAGGAATTGCATAAGGAATTGCACTGAGTTTCATTCACTCAATGAAATGAATAAATTTCCAATATAATCAATGAAGAATCAATATGAAATTATTGTATAATTTACAGACTGAATTAGTGATATGCAAATGCTTGATCAAGAAAATTAATGTTCTTGTCATGCACAATTCTGTATCTCTTTTTTATTAATTAGAAAATGAGATATTAATTAAAATCAAACCTCATTTAAAAAGGTAACTTGAACAATTAAATACCTGTTCCAATAACGTTACAAATATTAGGCCTAAAAAGCAAGGATTTTATTTTTTCATAATTTCTTGAATGAATGCATTTTTATTTTTTGGCAATGTTGGGATATTAGTCACATCCTGACACCCTTGTACCGTTTATTCATCGTTTTTAAATCCGTAGTCAGTAGATCATTCATAACTTTCAGTAAAATGAATAGTTAAATAATTACCTGATGAAAATACTATCAACAATCAAACTGTCAACATCATTATTGGACATGGTCAAATGCACCGTGACTTTTCTTCCCTGTTCGGACTGCATATAGCATAATACTTTACAGGATACTCTCAGGTCTTTTCTTTTTTCTTTCCCATTCTCCCTTAAAAGTTTAGTGTAGTGGTGAAGCGAGAAACACACAACAGCACAATGCGTCAATGACTTTCTTCTGATCGGAATGGCCGTGCAACTTGCCATGTTCCGTATCGAAAATAAACAAGTCCTCCTTTATTGGTTCATCCACATGCATCACGCTAATCTCAAAGGCTTAAAATTCCTATGCTTTGAAGGCTTTCTCCTGAAAACGTCCTTTGTTTTTAGTCCTAACAATAAGAAGTGACAACAAACATCAAGTATGACAGAGGAAATTCGTTACCGAGATGCATAGCATCGCTGGTTTAAATTCGCCTGTTTCAAACGCTTTGGTGATTCGCAAGAGTTATCTCCCTGTAAACGCAAACCTTACCTTAAATAGTCCCTATCGGGCTCAATACTGTAATTGTCAATAAAACATACAGCTACATAATTTAAAAAAATGTCCCTTACTTTGTCTTCAAAAGTGAATCCATATTGCTTAAAAATTACCAACTACATACTGATATGCGGTTTGACAGTGCATGTGAACACAGCGATATTTCGTTTACCTGAAGAAAAAAAATGCCAAGCAAGAAAAGAGTAAAGCAGAATTTTTCAAAGTCATAAATTCTACTACCGGATTGGATGGAAGAGGTGGTGGGGTTTGGTCGAGGTTTTATTGTTCTTTAAATTAAAAAAAAACCCACACCGTTCGATGTTTTTAACTGTTCTTTAAAAATGCGGCGGGTATGGCGAGTCTCTGTTTTGGACACATTGAGAATAAAATTTTCGATGTAGAGACTGAGAAATTGTTTACATTCAATGCAGGTAAGGATAAACTTAGGATACCAGAAATCTTTAACAGGAAGCTGGATGTTTCTTCAGGACTAAAATTCTTATTATATGTATTTGTCATAAAAACTAGCCTGCCTTGGATAATTAAATATCACAGCCTGGATCTTCTCTTGCTTCGATAATTAATATAGCAATAAATAAGCTGCTTCTACTTCATCATCTTACTGGGGGTTTTATAAAGTAATCATGTAAAAACTAATATTGACTTCATCATGGCAAAGCAGGCGTATTATAACCAAACGCTGACATTTCGGGCAAAACAGTCAGAGCAATTACACTTTTGGGGCATCTGTAGCAAATTAAGTAGAGAGAAGTACAGGAATGACCAATCAAACTGGTGGACTCAAATGGCTTCTTGGATTCATACTTTCAATTGAATCGATTGATAATGAAGCAATGGGGAAGAAGTCGTATACTGAAGTAAATTTTCATCCTCGTGAACTAATAATTAAAGTTTTGTATAGTATTCTTACAGAAAGGGTTTAATTCTCGAATTTTAATTTTAAACAAAATTATGCCGGCCTACTGAATTGTTTATGCGTAGGATGCTTCTGCAATTAGTACACTAAACAGACAGACAAAATCCTGCATTGAATGCCATAATGCATTTACCATCATTACCCTTTGAAAATATTTTTAATTTCTGGTACATGTATAACTTATCAGGGAAGGTAACGCTCGAGATCAAGTGTCCCATAAAAGGGTATTGTAACGGAAGTAGAGTCCGTTGGGAAAGGGTGACAATTTGTTGTGAGAATTTAAAATCATAACTGATGAAATTTGATTAATTTAATGGACATTATTGTTTGATATAATCCATGAATTTTATAAGGAACTTGCTTCGTTGTCCTTTAGTCCTATTCATTTTACTGACAATGCTTACTTAGATAATGGCCCCAGTGGAATAAAGTTTGAATATTAAATGTTATCTATTAACAACCCCCTCTTTTCATTCAAAATTAATTTTTCCGGTATTGGGAACTCCTTTCGTCTCCAGTTTTAACTCTTTCTTCCTTGCAATATTCTCTTCTAAACAATTTATGATGCTACGATGTCTAATCAGAACTATGTAAGATGAAAAATTTATGGTTTTATAAACGTTGCGAGTTCTTTTTTTGCATTCTTTAAAGGTCAGATTGCAATGGAGTTACTCGGCCCTATTTCTCAAATAAATAAGACTGATTATATATTTGCCCATACAAATCAAAAATCATTATTTCGCATGACCTTTAGTTTAAAACCCATCCAGTCTGTATACAGCATTATCCAAGCATCATATCATCGGTTTTAAAGTTAATGGATTATTTTTTTTAACCTATGAAAATAAGGAGTGAGGGCCATTGGGAAAATGTTTAGAAAAATAACAAGCAACCCTTTATATTACTGGAAGGGAGACTTTTTTGTTTGTTTGTTTGGTTTTTTTTTTGACATTTTTTTAACATAAACTCTTGACCAAACCCCCAAAAATCCCAAAGCTGCAAAAAAGTAATAGATACCATAGTTCGGTCTTTCCACAATGAGTGAAAAATTCTCGAGAGGGACGTTAAACAACAATCCACAAAAGACCCAGTACTTTTTATTCTATTTCTACCCTTTAAAATTTTCCTTTCCAAGGTGTTCGTCAGCTGGGGCCTTGTGTCATACAAACTCTTTTTAATGGTGGTTGATGGAAATTTTTCCGGAAAAAAATATTTTGCTGGCACCGAAAAATTCACATTTCTTCTTTCATATGGTACTGAAGGGATAAAAAATCCCCAGTTTAAGCCGGCAATTAAAAGTATAATAATCTGCGAACTTTTTCTTGCCATACACCCTGTGCAAACATTAATACTACAATAACCAAGTTATAAAGAATCTCGAAACCTTCGCCACAATTTCCTATCATGTCACTGAGAAAATGTTGACCCATATCTGAAGTGCATCAATTTACTTTTAAACTTCATTTCAAAACGAGTGAAAAGATAAATGACAGATTAACGAGAGAAAAAAATGTTTTATAGTAGGAACTAACAAATCACCGTGTGGCATGAGCAGATGCCAGGACTCATGGGCCTAATCCTGGTACTCGTCTTAAACCAATCACATTCTGTAGTTAGCGATTAAATACGATCAACCATTGCAGTGATTGAACATGTAAATACTAGTATTTACATTAAGGGTTCTTATCTCATTTCGTGATTTACTGATGTTAGTATTAGCAGAAAATCTGCGATGTAACAAGGCTTTTTTTCTGAGAGGGAAAAAAATCCATTCATTAAGCAAGAACGGAAGCAAGCGATTCCTCGGTGTTATTGACTTTTGGCTTTTTTATCTCCCCAAATAGAATTCCTAATCTGAAGATGACGTGGTGGCAGTCTCCGCTGTCTTTCAGTTCACACAGAAGGAGGAAATAAATTCAATTGAATAGTAGATAATTACTGTATAACTATTAGATGATTACTGTATTATCAACTGTTCATCGGTTAATTAGGTCTTTCCACCTTTCTGTGGAAAGACCTATTGATTTTCTTCTGTTTCTTATTATTATTCTTCTTCCGCTGATTTTTTGTTTCAACATGTATCGAAAAGACTCTTTGTTCATCGTAAAGGTCTTTAAAAGTTATGTACAAATTTGACCCAACGCGTATGAACTATGACCCCTTTCAAAGTTATTGCCCCTTTCGCAAGAAATGCTTGTTATCGCTACTCCTCCGAAACCGTAAACCGCAGAGACATGAAACCTTCACTAATGTCTTCGACTCCTTGAGGGGACTCTGGAATCTATTCATTGCGAAAGTATTCGGTGACCCCTTCAATGAGTTATAGCCCCTGAAAGTTTTTGAATTTTACAAATAATTAAATATTTTCAAAATGAGAAGTCGTATAGATATTAGACCAACTGCATAAGATTCATTAACCTTTGACCTTAAAACTCATGTAAAGGTCAAAGGTCAAGGTCATTCCAAAAATAAGAAATTCAATTTTTTTAATATCTTTTTTTGTCTTTTCACATATACAATCCGTCTTTGCATTTTTAATATGTACTCTAGAAATTATTTCAAAGATATCATACTTGTCCCTTAAGATTGACCCTTTTAAAAGTTATTGCCCTTTGTGTGAAAAACCTTGTTATTGCTACTACTCCGAAACCATAAACCACAGAGACATGAAACCTTCACTAATGTCTTCGACTCCTTAAGTGGACTCTGGAATCTATTCATTGCAAAAGTATTCGGTGACCCCTTCAATAAGTTATAGCCCCTGAAAGTTTTTGAATTTTACAAATAATTGAATATTTTCAAAATGAGAAGTGATAAAAACATAAGACTAACTGCATAAGATTCATTAACCTTTTACCTTAAAATTCATGTAAAGGTCAAAGGTCAAGGTCATTCCATAAATGAGAACTTAAGCTTTTTTATATCTCTTTTGTCTTTCTACATATACTTAATGTCTTTGCATTTTTAATATGTACTCTTAAAGCTATTTCATAGATTTCATTCTTGTTCCTTAAAATTGACCTTATTAAAAGTTATTGCCCCTTGAGTGAAAAACATTGTTACTTCTACTTCTTCGAAACCTTAAAGCGCAAAGACATGAATCCTTCACTAATGTCTTAAGGGACTTTAGGCACAACTTTTATGTTCCAGTATGAAAGGATCTGATGACCCCTTAAATGAGTTATTGCCCTTTAACACTTTTGCGCTTACTATTAAACCTAATTACTTTAAAACTATAAACCATTCATGCATGGGGTTAATTGCAATGTGACCCTTGGCCTTTGACCTTGAATATTACATGAAGGTCAAAGGTCAAGGTCATTTCCATTTTTTATTAAATTTTTTTTCTTTTTTTCCATCTTTTAAGCAATTTCTGGGGTTTTTTTTAATGAAATTTAATTTTAAGGAGATAAATATTAAATGAAATTGAAATTCAAAGAAGGTGGAAAGACCTCTAATTGTTCAAGAACAATTAGTCTACTAGTCTAATTTGCTTTTTTTCCCAGAAAATTTTAAGTCCCAAGTCTGTAACTACTGATTTATATTTCATTTACGGTTCTGTAGGGTACATGTTATGAAATAATGAAGTTAAAAATAGGAAAATGACTTTTGCCGTGAGCGTATCTGTGTACGGGAAAAGTACAGTTTCATAAATATTTCCTAAGATACGTTAGGGTCGATTTACTCCATTGAACTGTAGGCAGAGTTTTACATAATGATTTTAAAATAACATTTCAGGACATATTTCTCACCTTGGTTTTATTCTCAACGGCTTTTAATTTGCTTTACGTTGATGTCATAATCTCTTCTGGCAAACAATAACATATGGACCAATGTTTCATCTTCCATATATTGAAATGAACGTTATGATATTATGGTTAATTTGTTCCCTTTAGAGATATATTATTTAATTATTTATATATCTTTTTTTCCTTGAAGAAAAACAAAGTTCGCCAAGAAAAGACATTCATTTATTCTGTTCTTATTTGCGACTCTCATGATTGTCGTTGCCAAAGAAACAGCTGTTGTTCCAAAAAAAATTATCTAAAAGCTAAAATTACCAAACCTTGTAAGGTTTTAACTGCATTAATTGAGCAGAATATAATCATTATCTTGCGTGAAGATTCAAACTATGTAATTAATGAACAAGAAAATTGTTTCAAAAGCCTTGCAATTGGTATGGCGTTTCCATGTTCAAAGATAATTCCAGCAGATACATAGTTCTGTTTCTTTGACACGGTTGAAGGAAAACATGACACGGGCCTTGTTAACTTAACAAAGGTTTGGAGTTCTTATTCTGTCTTGTATCTCGACAACTGAAATTTAAACTTTTAATAATATTTAAAAATAAGTATTTGCAAACATAAAAGACGGAAAATTTTCAGCTAAAACTGTCCATGTCCCTTTGGGTCCTTCACTTTTTTTTCTTTTAAACGACTTCAACTCATTCCAATCAACACCTTCGCCGTGGCCACTATTTATTGGTCAGGTAGACAAAATTATCCATATTTAGTATAAAAACAAGGTCTAAACAATGGTATGAAATATGTCGGTATATGAACGATCCAAAAAAGGTGTATTAGCTTACTAGGTCATTATAAGGACCATATAATTTTCCAAATGCTGACTTTGCACAAGAGAAGTCGACGATAGAAAAGTTTAATTTATTTCATTTGACATACAGTTTAGTTGTTGGTTGAATTTTTAATGGTTAAATTTTATAATGACTTTCACCTTAAAATATTTTACCACTTTTTACGTGGATAAACATGAACGCATTATTTGAGATGTACAGTTTTATTCATTCATGATTTTATTATATATTCAGAAAAGGTATTACCGATTAAAATCTCGATAAGTTAGAAAAGATATATACTTAAAGTCGGGTAAGTCAACATAAAAAAACGTTAGCTCTTAAAAGCTATTTTCATCTATCAAGATTGAGGGATTTTAAAGTATTGAAATTTAAATAGAGATGCAGGCACATGCTGTTTATGAATATATTCGAATGAACAATTGATATACAGTAATTTCCTGTAAGAAATAGAAAAGGAAACCAAAATTTGTATTTGATGTTTTTAAAACATAAAAAAAGTGGTAAATTTTTCTTAACTTTACAGGAGGAGGTGTTTGGAAAGACAATTTCGAACAGTTGTATCTTGTTCAGAAGATGGGCGACATTACACCTTTGTATGGAATTGCAGGTGGTGTGTATAGTTACCTTGTTCCAACCAAAGTCTTCAACGAAACCAGAATATGCCTATACTCAGGAATTAGTTCTGTGACTTTTGAAATGTATGTAATAAATTCTACACTTGACCCTGCGGGATTTATATTCAATGAAAAAAAGGAGCTACAATCATTCAGCACACAATGTTTTGTTCACAACAGTACAGAATCCGATGTTATTTTAGTAAACAGCTCAAAAGCTTTTGGTGTACTGATAGTGGAATCGAAAACTCTACCAAGGTGTTGCCTCGACAGAGCGTTAGAGGCAATCCCAAATACATCATTGACAGGGACAGAGTTTGTCTTGGTCACTGAAGATCCCTCGGAAATTATAATTATGGGTAGGTATAGTTTTCAAGTAAAAATATCCTTTTGAATTATTTGGAATTTACAAGTTTTACGTAATTATTACATTTTAATCTCCTAAAGGATATTATTTGTGTTTATGTGTTATTTATCCTAGAAACTTAATGTATATATTGGTAACTGAATTTGCGTTGATTAAATATTTAATATGAAGTTTATTTAAAATACAAACAATTTTAACATGGTCTTTCCAACACATGTATTTTAAGCAGTTTCAAATGCATCTTAAAGGACGTCGCTTTAAGATGAGGTTATAAATATACACTAATGGTCCTTCCTCAAAGCAAAAATTTTTGTTATCGTTACATCACGCGTCTCCACATTGTTTAAGGTCTCGTTTGAAAGGCCCCCAAATTTCACATGTAAATATGGAGGAGAACTTTGCGATGGGGCAGGCCTTATTAATTATCTGAAGTCTTTAATTCAAGAATTAAAAAAAAAATAACACTCTTGATTTGTGAATAATTGACGCCCATAGGTTTAAGTTCGTTCAGTTTATATTCTTATCTTAAGAATGTCTATGATTTATATGTTCTGAAATAGAACAATAAATGAATGAAGTAGATGTCTAAAAGACTTAAATTCTCCTTAAATTTGACTTTTCCTTCCAAACATTACAGAAATATTAATTTTTAAAATTAGATTTATAGATGGTTATTGTATGAAAATTGTAAATCTCTTATTTATGTAAAACAAGAACATCAATCGCTTAATTTGGCTTAGCTATCTTAATTTGGCATAGCATCTCTGCACATGATTTTCAATAACTAGTAAACCTTTTTAATTTTTTGAAGTCTGACTTTATTGTCAAAAAAATATTCAATGATAATTGGTAAAAGCTGTACTTTGTATTCTTGGTTATTTTCAGTCACAACAATGACATTGAATAAAGACGATACATATATTATTTGCATTATGCTTCCATCAAAACTTCCACTTTATGTACTAAATCTTGCAGTGGATCTGTTTGTGGTGGAAACAAGTGAAATCTATATACATGTATCAACGTATATTAAGACTAGTTGAAAAAAAAATACATGTTCTAGTTTCACGTACAATACAATCCAATGAGAATTTGACCTTTTCATCTCTAAATGTACGAAGTCCAAAATGTAAGGTCTAATTTTAATTAGATTGAGAAATAGTAGTACTTGTTCTGAATACCGTTATCAACATGAAATAGGTAAAGGCATCCGCATTGATTATTATAACCGTCCCAAAAATCTTTTTTGGCTTCGTTTTCAGTTATTTGCCTTGAATGTCTACTTGAGTACTGTTATTATCAATCAGTTTTCTTTTCTTAAAATGAACATACAATTGAAAGAAAATTAATTAAATGTACTCAAAATTATTGGGTTTTTTTTTTCGAAAACACTACAGGGTTGAGAGTAATTCTTTCCATTTAAAAGCGAATGTTTACCAAGGTTCATATAATCTTGTATATCATACATCATTTTATCTTCTTCGAACCGACAAAAGGTTTCCATCTAGGCTAATAGCTTTATCTTTGTCAGTGGACACAAACTTTGATAATGATTCAGAGACAAATTTTAAATGCATTGACGGCTTAATGGTGCTCTTCCACATCAATGAATGATCAACTTCAAGTCGCCAAATAGGCGTTTGAAGTGCTTTCAGAATCCATTACCTTGGAAACCGTTTCCTTCCGTTTGATTGAGAAACGAAATATTTTATCAATGGTGGACTGTCCCTTTTATTATTTCTAATCTTATGAATATTGGGTAAAAACTGGAATAGAAATATAGATTTATTCTTTTCTTTGATCTCATTATAAAAAATATTTTCGTAGATAATATTATTAAGCTCTGATTTCATTTCAGGGATAGAAAGTTCGGATATCAATGTCAAAACAACGGAAGAAGAATTTAATTTCACCGTTTTATCTCACACGGTAAAGAAATTAAATGTGAGTGGAAACCTCTCTTTGCAATTAACATCGTCAAAACCTTTACAAGTTATGTGCCTCACAGACATGCAGAACAATGAGAATTCATCTTTTCTGAATCTCTTCACGTTGTTCCCTGTGGTACCTACTTTTTGCAATTGGCTGGAAATTTCTTCCAGCTGTTTTGACAAACCTTGTTTGATTGTTCTGGCAAAGAAAGCTAGCATTTATCCCTCAATATTGATTAACGGTTCGTTTGTAGTAGCTAAAAACTACTCATTTGGTAATTACAATGTCCAGGAGATAACAAATCTAAAGAAAGGACAGTATTTTTTACAAATCCCAGACAGTTCAGGGTTGGCAGTTTTTGTAATAAAGAGAGATCTAGGGAGATTATATCAAGTACAGCCCCTGGACAAGGACAAGTGCTCTGCCATTCATAGTTCTTTATCGATACATTCATCTACAGCAATCCATCTAGAGAACGAAAATGAAAATACGACAGACAGTACTGTAACTACTGATTTTCAAATTAATACAACATTAATACATTTTACTTCCAACCATTCAGTAACTTCCAGTAGCTCTTCTGATGAAAATTCTACATCATCGATAAAAACCTTGATACTGAATACAACTACCGAAAAAAGTGCCTTTGTAAATGTTACTTCAACTTTAGTAAATGCAACGAACATCACATTTTTGACTACTGATTCCTCCAAATATGGAAGACGTAAAACAGAAATAGAGATTGGTGGGTTAGCTTTTCAGTCTCAAACAAATCAAAATGTGTCTAAAGAAGTAGCCCCAAACTATAACATATTTCTTCAAGATGTAGAAGAGGACGACAATAGCCAAGAATACATGTTAGCAGTGATTCTTTCCCTTTGTGTCGCCATCTTTGCTGTTATTGCAGTGATATCGTCTTTCTTGCTAATGGAGTTTATATCGAGACAAAAACAAATAAGAAACACTAAAATTCGACCATTCGTATCGTAACTGAAATGGCAAGAGGATAATTACGTTGTGCATGCGATGACGTAGATATGTTAACTCTACAAGAATAACTGTGATATACGTTCAAAGAGAATGGTTGGCGTTTCGATTTTAACCAGTTATCTGCCAAAGATTTTCTTCATGCTTAAAAGAAATCAATTTCTCTTTTGAACTCTCTCTTTACTTACTCATCAGAGAACATGTCGTACTTGTCCTTTATCATGTTTATAATTAGTGTTGCTGTTGTATTTGTTAAGCTGAAAGCTTTCGATCGATAGGGCTAATTTTAATCCTTTTATGTACTTTGTACGTATCTATATATATAGAAAATAAAGTCCATCGTTAAAGACGAACAATTAGTTAATTGTTTAAGAATTTCATCTTATTTTTCGATTTGCATGTAAAAATAAACAACGATATGAATGATTATGAAGCAAGATTTGTAATATTGCGTGAATTATTTTAATTATCTTCTCTTTACAAAGATAATAAGCGGGTTCCCGTACACCCCTACTAATGTGTTCGGAACATTTTATTTTTCGGTGTTCTGTAAATTATAAAACCCGATGAGTTCAGAGTAGCTCTGGCGAGAGTTAGCGAGACTACAGCGAGATAGGGTAAATTATTCACGGAAATGTGGCTAGGAAGTGACTAGCACGTGGAGACATGGTAAACAGAAAAGTTATGTTGCGTTTTAGTTTTCACCACCCTATATCATTTTGTAGAAATGTACTTCAATTGATCTCTCTTGAATTCATTCAAATTTAAATTATAAGTATTCTCTATGATACAATTTTCTGTTGTCTTCAATTAAAATTTCTTTTTGGACAAATATTTTTGCATGGGAACCCGGACTATATTTTTTGGCGTCATATTAGCAAATGAGGCACCAATGTGACTTTAACCGACAAATCAGCTGAATGAGAACTGCATTGTGGGGTACTACGAATACTACAGGAATTTTACTCTTGATAAATTCCTTTATTGTACTATCGGTGAATGCAGTTGTCAGGTGGGTGTGTTCCCTGAACGTCTACTTCCTATATAAACAGTATAATTATCACACTCATGATCAAATTATGATTTTTATTATTAGTTTAATTATGTAAAAATGTTTGTCCATTTAAATGCATACGAGAAGCTGCTCGTTTTCCTTACCCTTGAAGTGCTGGTGTTCTGAACTTGACACTATCTATACAATGACAAATTAAAAATGCCCGTGACATCTTCTGTAGTTACTAATCTTTGCATTTTTCTCAAGAACATTTTTTTTTTAATTTTGCACTCCATTGACATGATCTTAGATTGACCTGAACCACGAAGTTAAATTTGAAGTCCCAAAATTTTACGAAAATCAACAGCATTAAATCTAACGACGTTTCCATTTTATATGCCACCATTCCTCACGATAAATCAAATGCCAGGCTTTTTTATATCATTGACAACTGCTATTTCTAGAATTTGAAGTCTTAAATTTACTCACCCTGTCATTGTTCATTTGCGAAATTACTTTGTTAAAAACATTTTTATTGTACAAACAAGTACTTTGAAGTCGGTATTAAAAGATGCTTGAGTTTCTGATTGATAATACCTTTTTTGGGGATCAGTTTTCCAACATACTATTGGAATTCCCATGGGTACCAATTTCATCCCGTTACTAGCATACCTATTTTTGTATTTATATTAAATGGAAGTTGTCCAAAATCTTGTACGTGAAAAGAAGAAAATACTTGCTGGGTCCTTCAACTCGACATTCAGAAATATCGACAACGTATTTTCAATTAACAATAGTTATTTCCATTCTTATGTTATGCCGGCGAGCTTGATATAAAAGTTATCACAGAGTCTGACACATCTGTTTCAAATTTAGATATTTTGCTGGTAATCTTACAACCAAGTATTATGACAAACGAAATAACTTAACTTTTCAAGTGTCAACCTCCCTTACTTATGCAACAATATACCTTCATCACCTGCACACGGAGTTTATATCTCTCAGTTGATTCGATACGCAAGAACATGCTCTACGTATGAACAATTTTTAAAACGAGGTAAGTTATTGACAAACAAGTTGCTGAAACAAGAATATCAATGGTCTCGTTTAAAGTCATCATTTTTTAAGTTCTATGGTCGATACAATGACCTTGTCACCAAACACAATTTATCATCAAGTCAAATGTTGACTGGCGTTTTTCATTCTTATTGTTAGACCGTTATTATTACACTGAATTATCGACGGATTTTTTCGTTTCTTACCAATTATGACAAGGAGCATACGGTGGGTGTGACCGGTCGGGAGGGGATGCTCACTCCTCCATGGCACCTGATCCCACCTCTGATGTTTCAGAGGCCTATGTTTGCTGTGCTCCTATCTGTATTGTTAAATGGACTTTTAAGCGTTAATAATGTTCGTTATCTCTATATCTTTCATTAAACAAGAAAGAGGGTGCATTTGATTGGAATTTGGCAGGAATTTAAGTGCATTTGAAAAGCTTTTTTTTTACTTGTATATCAGTTGAAATATGCATTCTTTTTAGCAAGAGCTTTTAGGAAATAGGTAGGATTTTTTTTTTCAATTCATGAAAAATAAGTCGCTTAAATTATGGCTGGATGAGTTACTCGGTACAAACTATTACATATTAATGTTTTTTCTAAAACTCTAGGTCATCTCTGTGCGACTTTTAACGTGATTTGTGTTTATTGAAATTCTTTTATGCAAAACATTGCAGACCCAGAGACCAAAGGAGTCTGAAGTTTTTATCGAAAAAAAAAAAAATCAGGAAAAAATTTCCCACGCTCAAGACACCAGGATGGCAACACGTTTTTTTGGAGGACCAACCTAAACAAATTTATCTGGGTCTGGCAAGAACAATTTCGCGACTAATTCAGTGTCCGCAGTGTTTGTGCTATTTATTCAAGTTTTAAAAATCCAAATTGCTTGACGACTACGGGCCGTGTATGGCCCTTTTTCCACCTTGAAAGGACTCCATGCCACTTAACCAGAAGTGAATACCACAGTGAATATATCTCATTTAGTAATGCAGCACCATTCCATAGCATTTAGGAGTCGAGAAATATTTTCTCGCAGGGAATTTTTTTTTTATTATACGCAAACCGAGCCATTAATTAGTTTTACATTGGGTTAACTCTAGAGCATAAAATCCATTCTTATGACAGAATTAATTGTGTCACAGAAGAAAGAAATCAGTACTTTTGTTCTCTTTGATGTGGTCATGCAATTTAATACACGAATAATTTTAATACTTGTAAGTTTGTGGAAAATTTTGCAGATGGATGATTTATCTGTGGAAGATAGATATTTGTGTTTTAAAAAAGGCATTATGAATTTACTTTTTCCCCATTATTTCAAACACAAGGCAGGTGTGACCGGTCGGCAGAGAATGCTCACTCCTCCATGGCACCTGATCCCATCTCTGATGTTTAAGATGTTTGTATTTGCTCTGCTCCTGATTTGAATTGTACGTTAGGTTCAACAAGGTCCTACCAATCTTACTTAAAGAAAAGCATGTCTTTCAATGTGAAGTTTTTTCCCGACCTTTTCTAGCCTTTAAGTGTCAATTTTGTATAACCAGTTCCCTACAATTTCATTACTCATAATGCAACTTTTCTGTAAGTCAGTTTAAATTCTGGTCTGCATGCAATGAAACACAAAACTATCCCGCTGATAAACGTCGATTTTTCTCTCTATTCACTCAATCACTGTAAAAATAATTGTACTTAAAAAATTGATGGTGATTTGTCAAGCCACAAGAGTCGTCATTTGTCGCCATTTTAGTAATTGTTCCATTATTCAGCTTCGCAGTTTAAGGAGGTTCGCGTTATAAACATTAGACCATACATTCTTGGAAGAACTCGGAAGGTGATTTGTTATAGGCTTTGGTCGATATAACGATAAAAAATAATATTGCTCTTAGGCCTTGCTCAAGAGTTGAAGTCACATATCGTAGTACCTGCAGGCACGATTAAGAATGCTTAAGACAGTAAATGCAGAGTATATGTCTCAAAACAACGGAAGAAGGGGACGTTAAGAAACAATCAATTTAACAGTCTAAAGTATTTTTGCAAATGTCAAAGGTCAAGTTGAATATGATAATGCTTATATTTTTGGAATGTTTAATGGCAAACAGTACACATGCTAAATAGCAAAAAATACGTTTTTATATATTAAAAAAATCGCGATATTTACGTATTATCAATATTTTGAAATGGTCAAAATTGAGAACACATGGTCGGTATTAAATAAACTAGGATACTTCTGGTATCTGTATTCTCTTTTATTATTTATTGCTTCCTCTGGAGCTACCATGTCATGCAATGATAGTTTTTAACATACGGCAAGTCATATTTAAAACATCTTTAGACAAGTTAAGTCTAATGATTTAAATGTAAATGTCATCGTGTATAATTTTAAATTTTAATGGGTGGTAGTATTTACATATATAGCAATGTGACATAAAATGTTCTATTTCTCAATCATGTCAAGGAGCACACGGCGGGAGTGACCGGTCGGCAGGGGATGCTCTCTCCTCCATGGCACCTGATACCACCTCTGATGTTTTGGATGTTTGCCCTGCTCCTATTTTATATAGTTTAATGGACGTTTGAGCTTGAGTACTGTTTGTTATCTCCATATATTACATCAGTATATAGATGAAATGCACATCTATTACATAAACACGAGTCTAATATTATCTGTAAATGAATTATATCAACCCAAGGCAATTTGCGTGCTTAAACATGAAAGATATTGCAGTCCTTACAAAGTTGTCTTTTTTGTGTCGATTTTTAAGGGAAACTGATAACTAGCCATGCATTTCATGAATGTTTTCCGCTGCAGGGTTTCTCTTGTGCTTGTTTTATGAAACCGGAAAATGTGAGGTTAATCTCCGGAGATCAAATGGTATTATCAGATGCTCACTCTACTATCGAATCGGTTGTTTGGCGTTTGAATCATGGGACAATGATCGCATTTACAGGCAATT